TCAGGTCGATTTGGCCATCTTGGCATCGCAATCAATCTAGTGACATACACAGACAGGTAAGTCCAAAGTGAGGTAATTTTACTCTCTGAAGATATGCTCTTAAGACAATCGAAACTGAATTGATGACCGAGATCAAGCCAATCCCCAAAGAAATCGACAAAAGACTATATGTGGCCGAATATCAGACGGAGAGTAATCTGGATCCCACAACGAGGGAAGCCCTCTTCAACGGACTTGGGTTACCTCCACTGGAAGATAAAGAGGAGAATGCTGCCAAGAACCCATAGTCCTATTCTTCCCGGTGACTTCAAGGTTCGAAGCCAAGATGATCGCCACAGAATCACGCCCTTTGATTTAGGCTTCCCCTTATTTTCTTTGCAGCTTCGATGATGGACCCATTCCCACTCGTGATATGCTGTATAGTTTCCTTAACCCTTTCTGTCCTTTACAGTTTGGGTACTGTTTTTTCGATCGTTTATTTTTTTGTTACCAAGACTAGCTCTACGGACAAGACCCCGTTCCCTGTATCATAATCCCGCCCACCCCGTCCCCCGTGTACAGGTGAGCAAATTGCTCCAAGTATTTTGAACATGTGATGTATAGCCTCCGAGGAGCGGAGGACTGGTCCTCCGACCGATCCTAGTTTGCACACGAGGCACTTTGTGCCGGTTCCTTGCATTTTAGTGGAGGTGTGTGAGATTGTGATTTTTTACGCGAACGCAATCCCTGCGCCTTTGATGCCGAACCAAGACAGAATATGCTCATGAGTGCATTTCCTGGCCATGATACCACGGTTGCAAAGATTGTTTCCGGTTGTGCAACCGTGGTGTGATACTTGATACGTAGGCCAACAATTTTCGTACGTGGTCAGTGTTGTCTTATGGAATGCTTGAAGATTGAAAGTTACTTGGAAGCTGACCAATGACGGTAATTCGTTCTAATAATTCGTTGTTAAAGTTTGCATTCAACCTTGTTTTTTCTTGACCATGGGTATACGGTACGTGATGTTTCGGTTTGGAGACTTGACAATGGACTGCTGCATAGTCGAGTCCCGATGGTCGGNGGTGGTGATCATCATCAGCACAATAGTTATGTTGATTCCCGGTGTGATCGTGATTGGGAGTGGTTCACATTTGGTATCGGGCGGTTTTCATTGCTGTAAATGAGAACTAGTCCTAATAGTGCTGCCTGCTGGGTAAGTTCGCTTCACGTCACCGCACTAAACCATTTTTCAGCCGTGATCGATACGAAGGTTGGTAGGTTGGAAGGTTGATAGCCGGAATTTCGCCAGAGGTGATCGTGGTTCACATAGTTGCTGTCAGTTGAGGAGAGTTCATCGCCAAAGGTAATTGCAGGGTGTCGAAAAGGTTCCAAGGCCCGCGTTGGTGGGGAGAGTAAACAGTGGCGTCCGTTTGATGCATGTATTGGATAAGGCGATAATATCATATATATGGCGTTGGTACTGAAGTAAAAATGTGAACGGATATTTGGATTGTAGATAAAAAGTGGTGTCCGGGCATTGTACGGCGTTCACCATACAATCGGCCACGCTACAATAGAAATATTTTATTTGCACAAAAAGAAAACAACAATGTAAAACCGATTTGAAAACTATGCGCAATATATGTCTTTCATATCTCTTGGCGTGATCCGTATCGAACCTCTATGCACGCGCATGCAGGAATGTACATACTATTTATATACGCATAGCTCCGCACTGCAAGTAGATAATGCACTCACCCCTCCCTTCTTCCCTTTCAGTTTTCTCCTTCCAACATCTGAATCTCCATCTCAGCCCTCTGTCAACTGTGTGCCGTGCTCACACCGACTCTCCAGTTGGCACTGCTTATCGAAAGAAAACTGACAATAACCAAAATCCGGACCATTAGACTTAGTCGCGAACCCGTTTTCGACAATGCTGAAATAGAAGAGCTGATCTGAACGATTCTTCAACAAACATATAAGAGACAACTCCCTGATTCAGGATATATATGGTTGTGGATTTTTATTTTTAAATCAATCCAACAAACCGCACATCTTTGGCGCAGTTTTGAGGAACTACGATTGTTTTACTGTACTCAAACAACACTGGAGACATCCGGCGGCTGTCTGCTTTTTCTTCGTTCAATAGGTAGGCGTCCCTATTTTGGCCTTGATATTTTCACTTAGTGACAGCTGTGTGATTCTAGAAAGTTACAATGATGAAAAGCGGTGATAACCCTTCGAGTGACGCCGACTGGAAGGCTTCATTAAAGTTACCAGAGAAAGATGCTCGCATTAAGACTGCCGATGTTACCGCAGTTAAAGGCAACAGCTTTGAAGACTTCTGTTTGAAGCGTGACTTACTGAAGGGGATATATGAAAAAGGTTGGGAATATCCCTCTCCTATTCAAGAGTCGAGTATACCCATTGCCCTGACCCATCGCGACATTATGGCCAGGGCCAAGAATGGGACGGGCAAGACAGGCGCCTATTCCGTCCCTCTTCTCGAGTCCATTGATCCCTCTCTGAACAAAATCCAAGCCATGATCCTTGTTCCCACCCGAGAACTAGCCCTCCAGACAAGCCAGATCTGCATCGAGCTGGCGAAGCACACCGCCATCAAAGTCATGTTGGTCATTGGCGGTACTCTCCTGAAGGATGATCTCATTCGTCTGAGTCAGACGGTTCATGTGCTGATTGGTACCCCAGGACGGTTGGTTGACTTGTTTAATCGTGGAATCCTTGACATATCTCAGTGCAAAACCGTTGTTCTTGATGAAGCTGACAAGCTGTTATCTGAAGAACTCAAGGGCGCAGTCGAACAGTTATTAGGCGCAGTTGACCCAAATCGCCAAGTTATGGTCTACTCAGCCACTTATCCGGTTACCGTCCAGTCCTTCATGGTCAAACATCTGCGGAACCCTTATCAGATAAACCTGATGGAGACCCTGACGTTGAAGGGCATCACGGAGTATTATGCCTACGTGCAAGAGAAGCACAAGGTAATTATTCATTTTTGTCGATTACTTTGCAGGTCCATTGTCTCAATACATTGTTTTCAAAACTCCAAATTTG